TAGTTTCGTTGCTCAGCTTCTGAGTTGAGCGCATAACGTGACACTGTGAGCTGCGGATTTAATTTGAACTGTGATAAACATTTTATGTGTTTTTCGTTGGCACAGGAGCGGAGCAACTATGGGATGACCATTTTGCTATGAAGCTGAAATTAAAATTACGAGACTACCAAACTACCAGACAACTTGAGCTTGATATTATTTTAGAACAATGCAATGAATGGCAGAGAAGTATATAATTAAATTTTGTGGACTTTGAGAAAGCTTTTGACATCGTCCATAGAGACAGTCTATGGACAATTTTACGACATTTTGAAATTCCAGAAAAAAATAGTCAACATAATTGTTCTCTTCTATAAAGACTTTTCCTGCAGTATAAAGAATTACAATACATCTTTCACAGTAAAGACAGGTGTCAGTCAGAGATGTGTTATGTCATCTCTCCTCTTCAACCTTGTGATTGATTGGATACTAAAGAACACAGTAGACAGGATATTGAGAGGCATACGATGGACTCCATTCACCATGCTCGAGGACCTTGATTTTGCAGATGATATAGCACTCCTATCACATAAACATGAACATATACAAGAAAAAAGTAACAGACTACACAGCACAGCAGAAATGGTGGGACTGAGAATAAATACCCAAAAAAAAAAACTAAGATCATGACAAGCAGTCCAAACCAACAACCAGTGACCATAAAAATCAAACTTTTGAAAACGTAGAACATTTCACATATCTTTGTAGTGTGGTGTCCCTGCCGGGAGGGACCGAAGAGGAAGACAGTCACGTCTGAACAAAGCTAGAGCTGCTTTTGGAAGGATGAGGCAAATCTGGAAATCCAACAATTACTGCAGAGGAACGAAACTTCGACTCTACAAGATCATCATTTTGCCAGTTCTTCTTTATGGAGCGGTATGCTGGAGAATGACCAGAAAGGATGCACATAAGCTGTCCACCTTCCACTACACACGTCCACGTAGAATTATCAAAATTTTCTGTCCAGATACAATCTCAAATACTAAACTACTTTTAGTTTCAAACCAAGAAACTTTAGACAGTATGGTAACCAAGAAAAGATGGAAATGGCTTGGCCACGTTATGAGAATGAATCCTGATATACCCGTCAAAACGGCTCTCACATGGACACCAGAGTGAAAGAGAAAACAGGGGCGCCGAAAAACAATATGGAGACGAACGATGGAAAGTGACCTGAGTGCGGCATCTTTGACATGGAAAACTGCACTAAAGATTGCACAGGACAGGAAAGCATGGAAAGTTCTCTCTGAAGCCTCATGTGCCACTAGGCATAACGAGAACTGATGATGAGCTTGTAATTATGATTACTAGATTACCAGACAACTTGAGCTTGTTATATGCCAGAGATGTTATTAAGGACAATGTGGTTAGTACAACGTTAGCTTGTTGTAGACTACACAGGCTTTGTGCACAACTTTGGCATGTCATATATCGGCTAAGTTCCTCAAATGTTGTAATATTTAATTGTGTCTAAGGTTAAACGTGTGAGTTGATTATGAACTTTTAGCAATCCGTGTTGTCTAAGGCCATAATGTTTTTCGATGATGACTTGTTAGACATTAGAGACGACAGAGATCACAGCTGGGCAGTGTACAAAAGTGTGAGGCCTCGCTATAAAAAAACAACCACAACAAAAGTAATCCAGACTGATTTTAGCACAGAAATTAGTGTATTCTGATGTACAGAGACAATGGTGAATATCACTCGTCACACGAAGCAGTTAGATGTTGAAACTGAACGGTGACACTTTATGTTGCAGCTTCAATTACTAGATCAATATATGCAACTAATGCGTGTGATGTCTATTAGGAAAAAAATTCTTTCGGCTACAATTTCCAGATCTATACATACAAGCAATGCGTCTGATTTATATTAGGAAAATAATTCTTGCATACTATATGGAGCCAGTTTTAACATACACAAGTGTAGCCTGGACAATTAGCAAACAACCCGAACAATAATTTGAGACCTCGTTAATGTTGTTTTACAGAAGAATTCCTTGGACAGCTAAGAAGAGAAACCGACATGTTTTGAAAAAGGCGAGTACTCGCAGACAGTTTGTCACAAAATAAGAAAGAGAGTGTCATAAACTTGTGTTTGTTTGTTGGTCATGTTATGAAAAGAGAGAAATGGAAACATGTTGTGACCGCTGGAAAGATCTGTGGAAAGAGAGACAGCAGAGGAAGACAGTGTCAGTAGTTTCTTGACAGTCTTGTGTCAGTGCATGGAGGGGTGCCAGTACAAGAAGGTATACATTCAGCTGCGGATTGCATATGGTGGAGAAACATGATCGCCCACGCCGGGCAGGAAGGCACCTGATGCTGATGAATATTTATAAATTTCGTATTCGTTTATGTGTACAGGAAAGTAGAACCCATTGTAATGACTATTTTGTTTTAAACGATGGGAAGATATATTACAAAGTCCATTCAGGTCGTCACCGCATAAATAAAATCAGTGCGCTGTAATGAGGTCCTTTTGGGAAGATCAAACAGTAGGCAGGTATGAGTGTCATAAATTATTCCTGTACCTAAACCCTTCATAATCCAATTCATAGCCAGTAGAAAAAAAATAGGCGAGGCGATAAAACATATCCCTGTCGCACACATGTTTTTATTTGAAATGTGACTGTTTGCTTTCCATGAGGAAGAAATCGATATTTCATGTCTTAGTATGTTGGCTTCACTAAGTTAATAATCGTATGTAAAATTCTATAGTGCCAAATTAATTTCCAGAGAGATTCCCTACAATGCTGTCAAAAGCTTTTTTAATAGTCTATGAATTTAATGTAAAGTAATTGATTCAATTCAATGCTTTTCTTGATTCTTACATGTACTGTTGCTATTTGGTCATTACAGGATCTATGTGGCTGAAAATCTGCCTGTTCATCACTTAGCGTTTTCTCAGTAGCATGTTTTAGTATCAGATAATCCAAGCTAATATTTTTTCAGGACCTGGTAGCAACATGATTCCTCTATAATTCTCCCTCCAATAGATCACCTTCGGGAGGGGGGAAGGGTGGGGGGGGGGGAGGTGTTCCGTTTCACTAGATACTCTTCTCTCCAGTCTGTTGTATTTCTTCGGTCTCCCATACTTTACTAAATAATCTATGTAGCAATTCAGTTGATGTGTTTATGTTGGCTTTAATATCTTCTGCTGGGATACCATCTGGACCTGCCGCCTTTCTTTCCTTCAGAAGATTGATAGCTTTTCTAATGTCTTTTTTTTTTTAATGGTGTCTTACAGTTGATACCCGGTTCCATTTCTAAAGTATTTTGTTGTAGCTGTATCCATTTCTAAAGGCTGGATATCTGGAGGAACCTTAGGGTCTTGTTTATATAGAAGTAATGCAAAACTTTCGCCTATCTGTATATTTGATCTTTAGTGTTGGTAAATGCCTTTCCTTGACTATTTTTGATTCCTCCAGTTTGCTGACTATATGTTTAACTACTAATGTCCTTGTAAAAGGTCTCTCGTGGATCTTTCTACACCTACTGTCTGCGTTTCTTGTGCTAGGCCATCTAAAAATTTCACTTTACCCGCCCTTTTTCGCCTCCTCCTAACTTCCTTATTGGCTTCTGTTTATTTTCTCTGAGCTCCAGCTTTAGCAGTCTAGCTTTGCTAGTGTTTACATCTCCCTTTTTACTTTTCCTTTTCTCAATCATTTTAATATTTTCTGGTGATATCCAAAAATAACTCACATTATCCCTTGGTAATGAATGCAACAAGCAGAGGGCAACAACAAAAAAAGCACGCAAATACTTATAAAGCAACATGCTTTAAACAGACAACTTGTGTATGTCTCTAAAGACAATATATACGACGTCATCTATTCAAAGATGTATAAAACATAACTGTCTACACAACATCAACGAAGTTAGGTAAAATAGGACAACATGACCCTTCAAAATATCTGCATCCCTAATCAAATCAAAGTAGTACAACATGACAGGTAACACTATAAAGAGTGTATCAATCACACACACAACAAGAACAATTCCAGAAAAAAATTCTAAATTATTTTCTTATACAATTTTAATGCAGTATAAGGATTTTGATAGAATGGAATGTCATATACGAAACGTGAAATCAACTGAAGCAGTGTGAACATGTCAGGTTTGTCTAACTGAGACTGCCGTCGCTCATAAATTGTTTGATACATTTGTTATGAAAGCAGAAATATTGGTTCTGTAACACTGGGTGTTTCACTGGTAAATGACGAGGTAAATAAGGGTCACACCTTTTGAGTAGTAAGTAAGGTAGGCAGAAGAGTGACTAGATCACCATGATCTCGAGAAAATGATTGAAATGACGATCCGGCAGACATTTGATGCCCAGAGGGACACCTCACTTTTTGCACTTACATTTTTATGAGGTTAAAAAGGAACTGTATATTTCTTTAAAAGCCTTTAATTTTTAACAGTTTAATAAGTACAGGCGGTGACACGGTACCCATATCTCTTCTATATATAAAAACGTTGAAGTTAAAACTAAAATTTTGCGACATCCATTTTTATGCTTTAAAATGTTAGTAGAATGCACATAGATATATGTAGGTTTAATTTGTTTAATTTGAGTGTGTTATCTTCGGTCTGTGTGTGGCCGGGTTGTAAAAAAAAGGGGGGGGGGGGGGGGTGGGGGTGGATGCGTGTGAGTTTCGTTCCTTATAAATGCAGCACTCATTACATATAAATAAAATATGGTATATTCGTTTCAAATGCAGACAATACATATTGTTTTCTAAGCTGCCACACGATATATATATATATACATATATATATATATATATATATATATGCTGATTTATATTCTGCATCCGTTGTGGGATAGCACGTGGCATATAATTTTCAGCAAAGATCCGGCTTATTATAAAGCCTTTGAGTACATAATCTACAGATTATTAAAGTGATATCATACACTTCTCTGTGTACATAATGTGCGGATTACTGCTTGATCGTGGCTTATTTGTTCTGGCTTCTTGAATCCAGCTTTGCGAAGTAGTTCACACAGAATTCTACACCGGCTAAAGGGACAACTATAAAGCCAAACGTCTTGGCTTCAACAGTGACGTCACCTGTGTGGGCTTTGGCCGTCAGTTCAGGCAGCTGGTCGCCGGTCAGAACTAGCTTGTTGCCGTTCAGTTTTACGTATCTGCAAGTAAAACAAACATCATCATCATCACTAAAGACCGAACATAAAATAATGCCAGCATTTAATAAAACTAAACTGACATAAAGAGGAGGAAACGCAACTGGGTGGGTGCGGCGGGGGGGGGGGGTGTTGATGTCCGATAACTAGTACTTCTAGCAAAGGGATTGTCACAAGAGATAAGGTCCTCAGTGGGCTAGGTCAATGGGTATTTTGGGCGGCCACCCACCCACCCCGGTCACGGTAAACAGTTTTGCTGGACTGGCTAAACCCGGAAAGGGCAGCTAATCTGATTAATACCAGTCGGTAAGTTAGAGCATGTCTTGTTAAGTAAAGGCTGGATTCGGCCATAAGTGCTGGACAGGATGTCATAAATGATATCGAGAAAATAAAATGCTCAAGATCTGCTGCTGCACAAAGGGATCATTTTGATAATTAAAATCATGACAATGATATTATTGTACCACAAGGTACAAACAATTTAGTCCATTGGCTGTGATTACTGTATGAATGATTTCATTCAGACATTATTTCCATTGTTGGTGGTGAAAAGTTGCATGGAGCTCATACACTGTTTCCCTTGTCTGATGTTTACTCGGAAACCAAAACAGCTCCTGCAGATATCCGTGCAATATGATAACATGATTTTAACCCGTACAGAAAATTATTTCTCTCTCGACGCATCACAGTCAATGTTAAGAAATTTAAAATTTGCCTTAGACATTTCGTGTGCATAAATGGGTTTTATAAAGGTTTACGACTATTTAAAATTATGCTAATTCATTTATTCAGTCAGGTGTCGTCTTCACAAAGGAAGTTGGCTGGAAGGAATCCAACACGCTCTCTCTTTTCTTGGTAATACATTACATAAGACTGGTGTTATCTCTTGATGCGGTCCTTCCATTTGTATCGCTGTCTACCTCTTGGTCTCTTACTTTTGCCCTTTTTGGTTTGGTTATATCGTGTTTGTTTCTATTTAATTTGCTTTTTGAGCTCTCTCCAGAGAGTGTGTATTGGATACTTTTTGTTTTCATGAAACATGATCTATGCTTCTGTATGTCCAAATCGCCTTTCTAATTACCTCTTTATTGTCCGCCGTCAGATCACCGTACTTTAGTGGTCATTATCAATATTTGTTAGCTCTTTGGATGTCAGTTATCGACGCAGGTTGTTGAAATATTATTTGTTATTTGACAGTTTTTTAATTCTCAGTGTCTAGGTAATAATTTTACTGAAATTTGTTCTCTAACGCCTTATTACTGATGGCTTCACATATCAGTTTGCCGTAGACTAACGAATTAAAACCACATATCACTATTATTGCCTGTAACGAGCTCCAAGTCTCGAAATAAGCAAAATCAGTTGCTAAACAATGTTATATATGGAGAAGAAAAAAAATAGTATAAGTTGAAATGTCTCAAGTCGAATTGGAATGTTGGATGAAAGACCAGAAGTTTGCAATATAGAAAATGTAACAAGAAAGGACACATCATCATTGCAGGAAGAACATAACATGATACAATACATCAAGCTAGCTCACCCCTGCCGAGTAAACATAACAAGAAACAATGTTACAAGCGTCGACATTAAAAACGGCAATTGTCATCGAAATTCCGAGGTTAGATACAAAGCGGTTTTTCGACCTGTCTGCAGCGGTACCATGGGAATCATTGACTGCAGGTATAGGAATCAGGATTAGTTGTGGACAACTAGTTGTAAAAAGATAGTTTGCCATCATAATAATGATGAGAACGATCATGATAAATGTTAATAATGACGATGATGAAATTCGTCTTTTTCTTCTTCTTCTGCGTTTATCCGAAGATGCGATTGCGTTGTGTCCGTTTACAGCATATCTGGGATATTTGCACCATTCGGCCAACACATCCGACTTCTGCGTGCATTTGTTGACCCGGTTAGCCCTCCCTGTTGATGACATTCAAGAGCGGCAGAAAGTCTACGGTTAGTAAAGACAATCTTGTTATCTAAACAGATTTTAGAAAAAAAAACAGAAGTAAGTTAATGCTCGTTTGTAGGCAGACTGACTATTATATATTACTTGGATTTTAGACCATCCTCGTCTCCTGGTGATAGCTTGTAGAGGTCAAGGTCAGCGTCGGAATACTGGGACAGGGACAGGACAGCATCTGTGTCTGCCACGTTCAGATAGTAGACGACCAAAGCTCCTGGACTGTATCTGTGGAAGAGACATGTTTGTAGTGCCATTAGTGTGGGTGTCTGCAGTTGCATTAATGAATAACATTGTCAAGAGAAGTGTGAGTTAAGCTATATGGATTGCCTGGCAATTGAGTTAAACGTATGTGTCAATTTCTCCCCACCTGTCCTTGCTGAGGAGATTCTGTCTTTCTGGTTAGTGGGCCCTCGCTTTTTTTTATTTTATTATTATTATTCTTTATTTTTTCTAATGACTCACTTATTTATCTTCATAATTTCCATAGACATGTTTGGCCTTACTGTTGAAACTGGACGTGGCACAACCACAACACACGCTGCTTCCACGAAAAACACACATTATCCTGCGTTGCAAATTCGCACAAAATAGCGGTCTATGATAAGGGGGGGAAAAATCCTAAACAAAATCACAACCATCGAAAAATAACACCGCTGCTATTTACTATTTTCAATACGGAAGTGTGAAGCTATCAAGTGCATTTTGTTTTATGTACACACTATGTCCCCGTGTGGCTTCCAGGGCCTCTTTGTGTGTGTGTTTGGCATGGGAAGGAGGGGGGGGGGGTCGAACAAGAATAGCCCCACTGCCTCCCAAACAAGCATGTTGTAAGAGTCGACCAACTGGAGGCTTCCTTTGAGGTCAGAGTGCATCTGCCTGAGAGTATGCAACACCCCGGCTTTGAAACGAGACTAAAGTCCAGAGATGGACGAACCACCAGAGCTTTCTGCTGGAATTTACAAGAGTTCAGCATGAAGAAGGAACAGATGTACATACTCAGTGAGTTTAGCTGCTTTTTGTTTGTACATATGAGTGTGTCCATTTTGTCAAGATGCGGTTACTTTGTAATGATGCGAGTTGGCTTCTTTGTCAATATAACGTGAGCTGTTCTATTAGGCTGTGAATGTAGTTACACTGTCTGTATGTAAGTATAGCTACGTTGTCTGTAGATATATGTGTACTTGTGTTGTATTTAGAAATATAAGTTTATGATACTTTGTCGTTAGATATTTATATTCCAGCTACTTGGTAGGGATGATAGTTTAGCCACTATATCTGTTGAGGTTTGAGTTAGGCTGCCTTGTGAACATCTGAGTTTAGCTATTTTATGTTATGACTTGACACGGGCGGGTCTTGCTAGTCCAACTCGCCATCGCATGGGCTGTGAGTCTCATGTCTCCTCATAGCGCAATATAACACTATCGTCTGGAAAGGCAGAAAGGTGCCAATCATGAGCTATTTTATGTGCTGTGACGAGAGTGTAGCCATTTTGTCTTAAAGGATGAAGGTTATATCTATTTGTAGAGGTGTATGTTTGATCACAATGCTTGGAGTTTTAAGATTGAATACCCAACTGATAGAACAGCAGATGACTTCCTAGCAGTAGACTGCCTCAGTAAAATATTTTCACAAGGTTGTATCGGGCTTATCTGTCCTGGGGAAGTAAAGACGGCCGGCGTAATGCTGACCACATTTCCCACCTAATACCGATGGTCTGTAAAAATATGGGTGCTCTTCTTATATACCAGATACGCCTAAAGAAGCGAAAAATGGATCTTTACTTTATCGGGCTTATGGGGTTGGTCATTGACTAGCATCCGAATAAAAGACACAGCAGACGTTTAGATTAGCCAGACTTATTCTGTAGAGATGCACGTTTCATTAATTTGTCTGCATGGATGTCATTTTATTCACTTTGTTTGCAGAGATTTTAGTCTAGCCACATTTTTAAACATGGAAAGAGGTACCAGCCATGTCATCACAGGTGTAAATTCGACCACTGTGTAGTCAAAAGTGTAAATTTAGCCACTTTCACTACACATATTTAAATCTAGCATGAATTTTAGTCTCGACAGAGTTCAAAGGCTAGTCATTTGATAACAGTTTTTTGATGGCTAGAAGTCCAAGTTCAAAGAGATGAGAACTTCCATATGATTTTGGCGAAGTGATAGTTGGCAACATTTATGACCCAAGCGGCAGGAGATATCTTCTGTGATAGTCACAATGTGCACCCCCAGTCTTTGAAATGTTTGAAGTCCTGCAGCAGATCCTGTCTTGAACGTCGCCCCCATCATCCAACAGGAGATTCTAGCTTCTTTGTCAAAGCTTTTTCATTGTGTATATTTAAAGCCAAGAAGTCTACGTGCCCATGTTCATGCTATGATGTCGGTCTGGATCAAGTTTTCATCTTACTCAGTTTTGTTGTTTTCCTTAGTATTGTTACCACAATACTCACGCCTTTATTGACCTGCGCTTGTCGTCGGTCAGCAGGTCAAATGAAGACAGTCATTCTAGGAGACGGCAAACTCCGAATTTAAACCCCCAAGTTCAAGGTGGGCCAACGTGCTGTGGAACTGGATGGCCACGGGTGAGCTGGTCGTGAACGTTGGACGTCTGGCTGGCGTGCGGGGCGGCACCAGGCGTATGGACTCCTACAGGACATCCATTGCCCCTTCCCTAGCAGGCAGACAATACTTGGGTGACCGGTCATTTCCCACAGTACTCTATTTTTTCGTATGGATTAAAAAAATTATACATAGGAATCGTCGCCGGAGCTACAGTACACGTGCTCTACGCTTGACACATTATTCAGCAGTTTATAAAGAGGGAGTGGGGAGGAGACGACGAAGGAATGGGGAGAGAAGAAGGCATATAAATAAGAGGGCGGGTGCTAGGAGTGCAAGACGAAACGCGGAGAGATTAAGCTTTAATCATGTAAGAGTAGGATACTGGAACTGTCGGAGTGCTAGGCAGAGAGGTCCTGTACTGGAGAGGTTGATTTTTGATTTTGATGTCATCATGCTCCAGGAGCTAAATACACACAGATATCATTGTCCTGACTACGTCAGTTATGTAAACCCTGTTGGACAGGAGAGACATGGACAAGGTCTGGTGGTGAAGGAGGGAGTGAAGCATGTGGTGCTTGACTTGAGCCAGTGGCACCACAGCGGAAGAGAGGTTCAAGGAATACAGGTGGAGATTGGTGGCTTAAGTTGGAACCTCATAAATATATATGCCACGGTAGACTGTTTTGTCAGAAGTGAACAATGGGGCTGGCTCAAGGAATTAGAGGAGCTACCAGGTGATAGGTTACTCATGTGTGGGGATTTCAACACGAGGAACAGAGAATTGGACAGCAGTGAAGAAAACCGACAGGGAATTGCTCTTGCAGAGGCCATGGCTGATTCCGATATGGTCTGCATCAATGATTGGAGGCCGACTAGAATGGCAATAAGGTCTGGAGATGCTGACACAGCTATTGACTTGACATTTGTCTCTCAGTCGTCGGTTTTAGATGTTAAATTAACTGTCCTGAATGACCATGGGAGTGATCACCTACCATATTCAGTCTTGATTTCTAAACTCAGTAAGGTTAAGGTTGGGAGAGCACGCAAGACCTTCCGGTATAAGTGGACCAACAACCTTTGTGGACGCCTCAAACAGGGAGCATGCAACATAAATACTAGAACTAATTTTCTACAGCCCCCATGGTGGTCTCTAGTAGTTGAACAGGCGTGGAGGGCAAATAGAGCCACATTGAAGCAGCTAAAGAAAGAAAGTACGACAGACACCCTCAAGCTCACGAGAGGAAGGGAGATGGCGGAGAATGTGAAAAAAGAAAAAGGTGGAGGTTTTCAGGCGCTGTGTTGCAGAGGCCAACAGAGCAAAGTTGGAACTTTTGTGAATGATATGGGAGGCGATAAAACACTAGGGAAATTCTGGAAACTGCAAAGGCAGATGCAAAGAAAAGATCGACCTATGACAGTCGGAACAATTTGTAGAGTCGATGGTGTGCGTGTGACAACAGACAAGGAGAAAGGGGTGGCTTTACTTCATGGGATATAGCTCAGACAGATCATAATGATGTAGAAATCAGGAATGCAGAAAGGAGTTAGCTGGCACCTTAAAGAATATGCATTATGAAGACATGATACAAGTGGAAGACATCAAAAAAAATTTGAAAAAAAAAAAGCAAAATCCTCTGCACCTGGGCCTGATGGAGTCAGGTATGGTCACATATAGGCTTTGAGCGATGTAGACCTGGCAGAGATGGCCGACTGTTTTAACCAGAACATTAAGACAGCATCAGTACCGCAGGGCTCAGTGCACAGCTATCTAACCCCACTACCAAAACCTTTTAAAGATCATTCTAAGCTCACTGGTTTTAGAATCATCACCTTACAAAACACATTTGGGAAGGTCTTGGAAAAGATAGTTGCTGTAAAGCTGCAATAATTTTTGGAAAGGGAGACGCTTCTGCCAAGAGGTCTGGGAAGCTACAGGCTAGGAAAGGACACTTGGGCAAATGCGGCCACTTTGGCTTTTAACGTCTATGAAGGGTTCCAGAACAGACAGGAAACTATGGCGGTAGGACTGGATCTCGAGGATGCTTTTAACAGAGTGAGATACGACATTTTAATGACTGCACTGAGGGAGAAGGAGGTCAGCCCATGGCTGGTGAGTTGGGTTGCAGCTGTCCTGTATTCACGTCGGGTTGCCCTCCGACTGGGCTCATGGATCTCTGAACCATGCACTTTGGCCCCAGGACTGCTACAGGGATCCGCCATCTCGCCTGTGCTCTTTAACGTGTATACGAGCAAGATTACAAGCCTAGGAGCACCAGGAGTTGGAAGAATACTGACTTTTGCGGATGCTATACTTGCATACAGGCAGGGGGAAGAGAGGGAACAAACAGCCCGGTAGCTACAAGTGACAGTAGACAGGGTGACTGAGTGGTGTACAGAAATAAAGGCTGTCGTCCACCAGGAAAAGACGTCTGTTTTGTGGTGTTCTCTGGACAACAGAATTGTTAAAACTAATGTCCCAAGTCTCACGATAGATGGTAGAAACGTCATCAGAGAGAGCAAACTGAAGTATCTGGGAATTACATTTGACAGGAGCCTGTCATTTAAGGACCATGTGGAGAGTGGTGTGGCAAGATGTTAAAAAGGACTTAGTGCACTAAAGACTAATGGCTGCAATTGACATAGAGCATAGAATGATTTCCACACTATATCAGCACCTGATCCTGTCAGTGGTTGATTATGGCCTGGGACTGCTTACCATCTCAAAGAGTCAAATGGACAAACAAGAGCGCACAAGGTGCTGCAGGCGAAGTCATATCTCAGGGTAGCTGCAGTTACATGAAGCTCTGATTGCAGTAAAGGGTCAGCGGCTGATAAGAGGGAGGTCATGGATGGCTAAGGCAGAATACACAATCAGACAGGTTTGCATCCTTGAGAACATTAGGCGAGGAGAAGACTGGGTCAAAGTGCCACCTGAACAGTCAGACTTGTGTAGAGTCATAATCACGCTGAGCCGGGAATGCATAGACTGGCTATCAGGTGCCACAGAGGTGGAAATTCAGCAATTAAATTGGCAAAAAGTAATGGTTGATGTTTGGTGCAGGAGAGCCTAGCATATGATACCAAAACATGTAGCTTAAGAATGGAGGTGGAGGCGGTCACTGCAGCTTTCCGCTGGCTATAGAACACAGAGAGTCAACTAAATAAATATACAGATCCCTTGTGGGAAAATGTAATCTTAATAAATATCTGATCCTGCAACTCCCGCTGACAACCCTTGTACTCCTTGAGGTCCAGTCTGATTAGAAAGAACCATACACAAGTTACTGCTAAATGCATAAATGTAGAATTATTTCTCTACTACTTTTTTTTTTTTTTCTAAAGTAAAAGGACATGTATTTGATATACCAAAATTGCTTATGCTTTCAATCATCATTAGATTGCGTGTTCACTGGCTGCTTTACCATAAAATGCTGATAATTTTATCTGGCATTTCTTACATTTAAGACACTATCAATCTGTCAGAATTCACCAGATTTTATACACCCTAATGAATACTTGTAGAAAGATCATCGCAGAAGCTACGAAAGTAATAACTTAAAAGAGCAGTTGGCGCGCTTTCACAACATTCTCAATTTATATATCTTCGTCATCCTCCTTATGGGATGTAGTTGTTCATTATATTGAAGCCCCAGCTTGAGTATTGCCAGGGGCCGCAATATAGCCTGAAAGTTTGAAAGCGGTTTCTCAGACCATTCCACGGGTGATACTAATCCGCATGATGGCACTTTGAACCGGGGGTTAATCGCTCTGTGTGATGTCCTGGTGGGGTAAAATGTACATACTTACTTACAAACATTCTCATGACTCAAAGTGGGGCCCAACAAAGATCACGAGAGCTTTAAATTGAAATCCACAGATAGTAATGTCAGTAAAACCGGTTACCTCTTGTTACTGGCACAGTTGGCATACAGTCGCAGCTTGTCGTTCTTGGTCTCCACTGTGACGTCAAACACAGGTCCCTCCACCAGCGTTTTGAAGACGAGAGACAGGAAGTAGTCCTGTGAAGAACAGCAACAGTTAATGCCAACCTTTGAATAAATATGCGGAGCGATATGTGGATATGAGTGGTAGGTGTGAGCATACACGGACATAGTGAGCGAGACAGAAAAGAGGGATTGGGGAATTGGGGACGTCTAATGCAATGTCACTTATCGTTAAAAAAAAAACGTGTTAGGGCCTACACAGGTTTTTAAATGCTATCCGCGACACAGCTAAGCAATAACCGAATTGGAAGAAGTTAAAGTAGCTCCTAAATGTGGCAAGTCATTATGTTGTTTGTCTGGTGCAAGTTATTTGTGGGTTATGAGTCAGGTTACCTTCACGGCACTCTAGACACCTCCACAGCTGCTCAGATTCCTCTTTAAACATATGCCTCAGCGTCCCGCGGGTAAATATGCCAGTCCTATGCTGATTGACAAAACTTATCGAACGTTTAGTGTACCTCTCGAGCCAGGCTGTGCCGATATTCGTTACCAGTTCTCGCCTTTTTAGCGCCATTTAGACTTTTATATTCACAGCAGCAGCATGATTCTGCTCTAGACAACTTCTAGAAACTGGGACAACACAGGCGAAATTGCATCTGAGCGCTTGAGGAATGGGTATCATTTCTGCACTAGGGTGGATGTCTGTAAAACTGCTCACCTGCTTGATATCATCCTTTGCCCTAACCAGGCATTTTTCGCTCTTTTTAATTTTTTTTATTTAAGCATGCTGTCCGTTTTGATGAAGAGCATGTGGTGCAAAGGGGTTTCAGATCTGAGCTTATATTAAGGTATTTGCGAGATTTCTTCTTGTTCATGGTTGGATGTCACAAAGACATCTAATAGATACACAAAATGTTTCTCTGGTGCATCCCAGAAGAATATGCATGACTTGATTTTGCATCCTTTCCATTCTTTTGCAACCTTTTACTATCGATAGTCAACATGTGATCTGAAGACAGAGTGCAATCAAATCTCACTCCTAAATATGTCATTATGTGAGATCTAGTCTAAGCTTCACCATTGATTTTCACTGCTATCATGTCTGCTCTGATAATATGCGTGTGTATATAAACTCTGCTACCCAAGCCTTTGACAGTGTGCCAACACAACAGGAGTAGACGAGCATCAGTTTCGCTCTTCATTGCATTGACATCCCCGACGGTTTCTTTCATGTCCAAATACACAGATGTCATCCGCGAATAACAGAGTCAATCCTGCAGTTCCTACGCAACTGTTTTTAAGTTGCAGCAATGTGGTCACATTGAATAGAAATGGAGGTAATTTTGGATAAACAGTTACCGATTATGAGGACCAACAGCTACATCTGTGTTCTACACGTCTCTTCTTCTTCTTCTTCTTCTTCTTCTTCTTCTTCTTCTTCTTCTTCTTCTTCTTCTTCTTCTTCTTCTTCTTCTTCTTCTTCTTCTTCTTCTTCTTCTTCTTCTTCTTCTTCTTCTTCTTCTTCTTCTTCTTCTTCTTCTTTTTCTTCTTCTTCTTCTATTCTTCTTCTTCTTCTTCTTCTTCTTCTTCTTCTTCTTCTTCTTCTTCTTCTTCTTCCTCTTCTTCTTCTTCTTCTTCTTCTTCTTCTTCTTCTTCTTCTTCTTCTTCTTCTTCTTCTTCTTCTTCTTCTTCTTCTTCTTCTTCTTCTTTTTCTTCTTCTTTTTCTTCTTCTTTTTCTGCTTCTTCTTTCGGCCCAAAACATCCAGTATCAACAAAACCATACTTAGTAGCCTTTTACGACGTGTTTGTGAGGAAGCCGAGTGTCTCCAAGAATGGAGACCCGAACTCCAAGATAGAATATCAGTGCCCAGTCTCAATAAAATGTATGAATACTTACAGGATTAGGGTCAAATCTGGAAGTCACAAGCGCATATGCTGCACCCACAAGAGACTGACGGAAAATTCTTGTGGCCTTCAACTTGGCGGACAGTCCCAGTTTATCCAACCACCTGTTGAAGCGGCAATAACAGAAGATGTGCCATAATCAATATAGACATGAATGAAAGGCAATATCACATGAATACATTAAACATTCGTCAGAAATATTGACAGCAAACTACGTTATCCATAAGTGGGAAATGTTTGCAGATTACGTTAAACATCGGGAGAAATGTTACCCCAAGTCTAGGACAAACATCAATGACAACAACAATCAAATATCAATGACAACAACAATCAAACATCAATGACAACAACAATCAAATATCAATGACAACAACAATCAAACATCAATGACAACAACAATCAAACATCAATGACAACAACAATCAAACATCAATGACAACAACAATCAAACATCAATGACAACAACAATCAAACATCAATGACAACAACAATCAAACATCAATGACAACAACAATCAAACATCAATGACAACAACAATCAAACATCAATGACAACAACAATCAAACATCAATGACAACAACAATCAAACATCAATGACAACAACAATCAAACATCAATGACAACAACAATCACACATCAATGACAACAACAATCAAACATCAATGACAACAACAATCAAACATCAATGACAACAACAATCAAACATCAATGCAGACTGAATTAAACAGCAGATATAAATATATGTGAACAGAATCAAGTCAGCTGTGACAGACAATATTAACAGTTCTGACACTTCTAATGTATGATTTAACCCATTTAGGTCCAGAAATACATATTCTTCACTTTCTGATAGCAGTTTACAAAGGAGTGATAACTAAAGTACATCTGCCTTAGGTAGATAGGTAGTTATACCAGACCAGGACATCACACAAGCGATAAACACCTGGTGACTCTAAGTACCACCATGCGGATGAGGATCACCCGTGGAGAGGTACCATAAACCTCTCTTGGCCGTTAGACCATATCAATGGCTAGATCATATTTATGCCCCAGCTATATTCAGGGCCTCAGTAGAAGCCAGGGTGACTGTCTTATGTGTTTACGAATTGATTTGTCTCTTTAAATAAGCTTCATTCGTCTTATTGCCAGTGATTAGCATTTTTGCGACCATTTTGAAAGCGTTGTTATACCTATATTTGCATTTCACTTTCTGCCCATTTGCTCACGATCTATGCTTCTGTATTTGACAACAAGCGAGGGTCAATAGATTCTTACAGTTACAGCAACAGATAATACAGGTGGGACTTCCGCATACGACATAACAGGCTTTAATGCGTCTAGAATTATGCGTAGAATTTTTTAATACTAGGATCATTGGACTGTAAAGGAAAAGAGACCGGTGGTTCGACTATATAAAGGTAATGATACATAAATATAAACTCAGCACAGTCTGGATTGCACATTTGTAACAGGTTAGAAGATGTATCACCACAACGCACGCCTCATTTCACCATCTAAATTTAATAACAAACATAAAACCACATGATGGTTCATAAAGGTTCATAAGTAAATTGGTCATACAGTTGTTTCTGTCAATGAATTTAGAAGAGTTAGTCTTCTTTGCATATACCCCACAAAGTCCCATGTGGATTATTAACATTTGTGATGAGGCTGGTTCAATTTTAATTCATGGAAAGGGTAATCCTATCTCTGCTATGAAAACTATAGTAAATAGAATACAACACCTTATACTTATAAACTTTATAAATAATGGATAAATGCCCTGCGTTGAAAAGATAATGTACACTGTTGATTACAATACTGTGTTGACACCAACTGTACACCGATTGTATAAAAGCAACTCAGCTAATAGCAACAACAGGCCAACACTTACATGAAGCCGGCAACGTAAGCATCCGACAGACCAGTGGTGCCCCCTGCCCAAGATGATGCTGTCTCTGACAGCTGCACGGGCCTAGGTCTAGGGGTGGCATTAGTCAGCTGTGCTACAACCTCGTACATTGTCTTTAGATTATCCAAATTTGTAACACTGGTAAACTGATCAGCTGTTGCACCGTGTCCGTCAATGTAGTAACTGTTGAAAATAATTGCATTTACTGGCTCGTTTACAACATGAGAACAAAAAGTCTATTGCACATTCTCATCAGGGAATTTCCTGTGATCATTCTGATAGGCCAGTTTATGTGACCGGACATCGCCAGTGACATGGCACTTCTGTCCTTCAACGGAAACAATATGCTAGTTATATTTGACACTCTTCGCCAGTGACATGGCACTTCTGTCCTTCAACGGAAACAATATGCTAGTTATATTTGACACTCTTCGCCAGAGTTACCCGATTATCATTATCAAGTTCCATGCAGAACGCCATTCTCATAAAATCCCACCCTCACCCTAACCACCTCACCATCACGTGAGTTTTTTATGCTCAGGGTATTCTTGGTAGCCTGTGCCCATCGTCTTGCTGGTCGACACCTGCCTTTTTTTCCAATCATATTCTTTCCATTGCAAGTCACACAAACATAGTTTTAATCTGTATAGTAAAGAGAGAATCGGAAAAAAAAATAAAGTAACAATTTGACAAAGTCTGCTAAAACAGCAGTCTAAGTGTGGAATTATATTTGTGTAGTGCAATGAAATTCAACGGTTCGCTATATGCAATTTAAGAAAACTAACTGTGAACATCGACACCAATGAGTATGACTTACTGATGAAGACAGATTTCATCGACAACATCGTATCCTCCTGCATTGAGGAACCTGCAGAAGCAAACATTATCAGTCAGTGAAATGTTGCCGTGCTATATTAATGAACCTTACACCTAATTACATCTCTCATCTAGTGACTGTGACCTGCTTACAGCACGTAGGCTAGGACGGGAGAGGAGCCAGCTGTGACGGTTATCCGGGTACAACTCGGAGCCACCAGGCATGACCAGTTCGCTGAGAACGCAAGACGTTTGAGTAATCGACCCAGAGCGGACGTGATCACTGACAAGACACATGTAGTGATTTATTTCCTATTTTCTGATTATTGTGGGTTGTATGCCATACTGTAGCCTGGCTGTGGTTTGATTTTGTAAAAATCACTTTACTGCCACATGTTGTCTTCACACGAGTCACAACTTTCTGACTCTGGCCATGGGTGGTGGAGCCCCAGAACATCTTGATCTCATCAGGATTAGCGCTGCTTCAAACTCGTTTACACCAGAATCACTTAGGATATACATTTACTCGTTACCGAGTGTGCTTTCTACAGGGAATATTTGCACAGTTTAAAAAAAAAAGTACATTCTTGTCCAGCCTATTCGGTCGTGAATGTTGGTAGAGAACACCATGTTTTTTAGTTGTTGTCTTCAAATATTCTATACCACAAAGTTTTTCACAAAGTCACTTGACCAAGCCAGTCATCATTTTACATCTCATTCAGTAGTTGATGGTTCGTAGTAGTCCATACACGATCATGTCTACTGATTGGCAGAAACCACGTCACGCAAAGTAATACACTGACAAGTGTTCCATATCCATCATCATCATAGTGCAGCAGGACCTTTGTTGAGCCTGCCAATCATCATAGCAAACGAATCTTACAAAGGCTTTTAATGTTTCTATTTTATGAATTTCATAGCGCAACATCCACCCATTCTTCCATGATCCATGCTTTCAATTACTGTTCTCTCTAAATGAATAAGGGGTTTAATGGGACCGAAACATTTCAGTTATCGAGATCACAGAAAAAGAAATTGTTCAGATTGTGTGTAGTCCAATTATATATATGTATATAAATATAAATATAAATATAAATATAAATATATATATATATATATATATATATATATATATATATATATATATATATATATATATATATATATATATATATATATATAATCAGTACCATTAGTCGACTTTAGCACCAGTTCCAAGCCACTAGTTAAGTTAAAGACCGACATCTCAGTAGACGACCCAGAGTGACAACAGCAGCTGAGTATCGCTTTGTTCGGCTTCGTTACCTCAGAGACAGGCTTACAACAGCTTCCTCAACTGCACAAGCATGGCCTCCATGACGTCATGTGTTTAATCAAACTGTTCGAAATAGACTGCATGATGTTGGACTTTTGGCTCGACATCCACACCGAGGACCTGTCCTTACAAGTGGCCACCGCCAAAATCGACTTCTTTGGGCCAACCAATATCCTTCCCGGTCAAGCGACAATCAGTGGAGACGTGACTGGTTCAGTGACGAATCGTTCCTTATGTTGCAACGTCATGATAGACGGCGTCGGGTCTATTGTAGACGAAATAAAGGTTTAGCCCAAAATTGTGTTGATGAACCTCTACTAAACGGTGGTGGAGGTATAAGGGTATAGGGCATGATAAGTTACAACCATTAGAGGAAGCTTGAATGCGCAAAGATACGTCCATGAAATTCTTCGACCACATGTCTTTCCATTTTGGGATGCCAACAGATAACTTTTTCAACAGGAAAACGCCGGACCCCAATCTGCACGGCTAACCACGCATTTCTTGGCTGCCAATAACATTCAGTCGCTTCCCATGTCATCCCTGTCTGCAAACATGACTCCGACTGAGCACATGTGAAAAGAGCTACAAAGACGTGTTTGTCGCCGAAACGTTGCTCTAGCCAATGATCGTGATCTGTTCAGGCACTCCGGGAGGAGTGGGCAGCCATCCCACAGGCCCACATCAAACATCTGATCGCATCCATGCCCAGGAGATGCCAGTCACTGATCTAAGCAAGAGGAAGCCACATACAATACTAACAGGAAAGGCCTACGCTTAAAAGCTATCGTGAACCAGATACAAACAAACAAAAGAGGTGTCAATTAATTGGCGGAATCCTAAGGTATTCTTGAGTGAAACTTGAGTAATTTCACTTACTGCATTACAAAGATGCAGAATGTCAAAATTTTGAGTATGTTTGTTTCTTTCAGTAACTTTGCGTTTCTTTTTTTTTTTTTTTTTTTTTTTTTGAACAGTATATGTCTTCTTCTTTTTTTTTTTTTTTTTCAATTCGTCTTTGCGTTTGATATGGCTAAAATATTTCAATTTATAACTGCTACAGGTATTTCGAATTTGGAACTATATACTGACTGCTGACGATGGAGAGGGAGCACTTATGGACATGTTTCAAATGATGAGATGTCACTGTCCTTACCACCGTGCAGTTCAGCATATTTATATATATGTATCCCAAAAAACTTATGTTTGCCGTGAACAAAGTGCAGAAGATTAAGACAATGCGTATGCATCACTTAAGCTACCAACTCAATCACACGCGTATATATACAAGTATAACTACATAACTTCAGCGAAATCTAAATGTAACACTTTTTGTGATCAAGTTTGTAGCTTAAGTGATGCATAAGCAATGCCTTCATCTTCTGTACTTTGTTCACTTACCAAAAATAGTTAGGGCTCGCGTGACATCAGCCGGTCTGCACACGTCCATCTACGAACTCCAGCAAGTCAAATCGCTGCGTTGTTCACTGAAGCATTCAGTAGTTACTATTAAAATAGCCCATATGACTACAACCAATTGTTCTTATCTTAACAACGAAGCAGATTGAGCGTGCTTTTGACATGCGATGTTAAACTCACATGTTATAGTCAACATCACGCTGGCAATCTTTACTTCCCATGACATGTCCTGGTATCTATTTTACCTAAGTGAACATGGGAGACCAAGGTTATGTTTCGTTCAAAAGCTGTGGGGTTGGCAGGCAAGCGTTTGGCCACTACACCTCAGCGGCTCTATCTGTATAATGTTTATGTTTAAAAATGTTAGCGCACCTCTTGTCTTCATGGAAGCTACTGCAGCTATTCAATACAATAAATATATGGCTTAACACGAGAGTGTCCTTGTTACAGTTTTCTCATTCACGTCAAAACACGTCAGACCATTATTGCTTAGTTTTCGTGCCAGCGAAAATCACAGAAAAGGCTCATATTTTTTTTTTTTTTTTTTGGTTAGGTGACCAGATGAACTTGACTGCAGCACCAGAATAATTGCAGCTTGGAAAACAGTATATATATATATATATATATTGTCTGTGTGTGTGATAGATTGTTTCCTAGATGATAATTAAGTCTTAACCATATAAGGTCAGCCTCTTTATATTGCAATGATCTAAACAACAAAACGAAATAGAAAAATTAGGAGAACAAACCACAAGCAGCGGAAAGAACAAGAAAACAACCGAAAAGAAACATAAAAGAGGGAAAGAACGTGGACACGAAGAAAAGAAAGAAAGAAAACAACAAAGAAAAAAGCAAGAAAAAAAGCAAGAAAGAAAGAAGGAAAGAAAAAAGAAAGACAGAAAAGAAAAGAAAAAAGAAAAGAAAGAAAGAAAGAAAGAAGAGTAAGAAAGAAAGAAAGAAAGAAAGAAAGAAAGAAAAAGAAAGAAAGAAAGAAAGAAGAAAGAAAAGAAAGAAAGAAAGAAAAAAGAAAGAAAAAGAAAAATAAAAAAAGAAAGCAACAAAGAAAGAAAGAAAGAATCACAGAATGAAAGAAGAAAGAAAGAAAGAAAAAAGAAGAAAGAAAGAAAGAGAAAGAAAGAAAAAGAAAGAAAGAAAAAAGAAAGAAAGAAAGAAATGAAAAGAAGAAAGAAAGAAAGAAAGAAAGAAAGAAGAAAAGAAAAGAAAGTAAAGAAGGATCAAGAAAGAAAAGAAAGAAAAGACAAAAGAAAACGCAGGAAAGAAAAAAGAAAAAAAGAAGAAAGAAAGAGAGAAAGAAAAGAAAGAAAGAAAGAAAAGATAAGAAAAAGAAAAGAAAAAGAAAAGAAAAGAAAGAAAAGCAAAAAGAAAGAAAGAAAGAAAGAAAGAAAGATACGAAAGAAACGAAAGAAGAAAGAAAAAACAAAGAAAGCAAAAAAGAAAGAAAGAAACGAAAGAAAGAAAAAAAAGAAAGAAAGAAAGAAAAGAAAGAAAGAAAGAAAGAAAGAAAGAAAGAAAAAGAAAAGAAAGAAAAAAGAAAGAAGGAAAGAAAAGAAAAGAAAAGAAAGAAGAAAGAAAGAAAGAAAGAAAAGAAAGAAAGAAAGAAAGAAAGAAAGAAAGAAAGAAAGAAAGAAAGAAAGAAAGAAAGAAAGAAAGAAAGCATTCTGGGTGTGCCTAATTTTATCGCATATTACCATTCCCCAGTTGAAAGTGAGCAATAGGCACCCCATGAGCCGAGGAGTCGTTGAGAAGCTGCTCCAAGTTGGTTGGATCCCAGGTCCCATTGTCGGTGCTTTTGAAGTTGTTGACGTCAAATAGCAAATCCCAGTTGACTTTCTTCAGGAACGACGTGAAATGTAGCCACTGTGATGCTGGTCATGAAAACAGGTTCAATATATTAGATGTAAAAATGAAACACTGAATTAAATAGCTGTACAATCAAATTGGGTGTTGTGTGTTTTTATTCTTCCTCTTCTTATTCGTATTCACAAGATGTAAACTCCAGCAGAAGATTCAGGTTATTTATCCTCTTCTGGACTAGTCTTGTGAGCATTATCACTTGAGTTTTATGTGCACATAGGTGTGTACACATCTGGCTTATTTGTATAAGTAAACAGCTAGTTTCTCGCCTCTCAGGCGGATATAACAACATCCTCCAGAATGGACGAATAGCCGGACTTCATGTGACATCATAACTGTCGTCAGCGGGCCCCTAATATAACCTGATGGATGAACCGGGTTTCTGGGACTAGCTAATTGTCGTCTGAATGGTGGAACGCTGTATCACCGTCTGTTGTTCGCTTGTTGTATGGTCTCAATGGGGACACTACACGGCATTTTTTATTCAATTGATGACTAAAATATACCCTTTCTAATGTGTTCGTTTTTGTGAATTTCAGCATTCGTAGAATCGATTACACACAAGATTTGTGTCATTTGCAAACAATTTAGCCTTAAAAAAGTAATACTAAAGACACCATCCATGCACTTTTTTAGGGTAAAAAAAAAAGGTTTAAAAGCCAGTTTTCTCACAAATCTATTTTTATGTTTGTTGTGTTTGTACAGCTAATATAAGGATTACAAACATGGAATTTAGTGTGAGTACTCTTCAAACAATATTATAGAGAAAAATACATTCTAAGTAGATTTTAGGTAGTTTTTTTTTTTTTTTTTTTGATTATTGTCTTATGATGCTACATTTTAAAAATCCTTTTTAACAAACCTACATTTTAAAACTCTAAGAAAAATATTTAGAAAAAATTTTAAAGTCAATAAACTACAGCTGTAGCTCAACATCGGATTAACATTCACGTATCCATCATCAGTTTCTCAATAACTACGTTTGTTTTTGAAATTCTAGGACTCCAAGTACATTTTATTTTCAAGATAGCGGCTGTTGTCATGGCAACCATGATTTATTCAAAGTGTGCAAATGTCTTATCATATATCTTTACAAATGATCATTATAAATAAATTTGTATAACGTTGTAAATCAACAACAACAAATGTCTGGTGAAATGACCCCTAAAACGTCCCTCACTCACTCAGGCAGATGAACTCCCACATCAAAAGAAACACCCATAATTAGTAAACTCTTAGGACATGCTTGTTGGCGAGGGGGCAGCCTGTCTCTCCCTTTTTCCACCAAAAATGTGGCCCTGGACACGCCCCTCCCTCCCCCACCTCCGTCCTAAATGTGGCCCTGGACACGCCCCTCCCTTCCCCCCCCCCCCCTCCGTCGTAAATTTGAATTTGGTTGCCTATTTTGTCGGTATCGGCTGTGCACAGTAATATTCAGCTACCTGTGTATAAGACGCCTGTGCTCAGATAATGCTTCGTTTACCTGTTATGGAAAAAAATTCTTCATCCGCGGAGTAACCAACATTGTCGGCGTCAGTGTCACAGCTGCTGGGTGTCTGGTGTGAGCTTGCAGCTGGGACATAGGTCATGAAGTTTGCCGGGGTCCCTCCCAGCCGGAGTTCCACGGGTGTCAGTGCTGCTGCCATGTTGATCATTTTCTGCGATCTGAAACATTTGACAAAATTAGATAATTAAAGACCACGGTAGTTTCGACACCACGGTAGTTCGGACACCACGGTAGTTCGGACACCACAGTAGTTCGGACACCACGGTAGTTCGGACACCACGGTAGTTCGGACACCACGGTAGTTCGGACACCACGGTAGTTCGGACACCACGGTAGTTCAGACACCACAGTAGTTCGGACACGACACTTTCATCTTCTTCTGAGCAGGAAGGAACAAACAAACAAACACAATTATCGGGTATTCGAAAAGGCAGAGCGGTATTGGAGCATTCATTCATTCATTCATTCAGTAGCGTGTCCCTCGCGGAACCTAGCTGCCATAACAACCCTCCGGAAAACCTTCCTATCCTGAGCAAGATGTCCTGCGTCTGATACACCCATCTGGAGATCATCTGCCACATCCTGCACCCATCTTCTCCTTGGCCTTCCTCTTCCTCTCTTCCCAGGCATATACCCCTCCATTATTGTTCTCTCTAGACTTCCATGACGTTTCAAGTTACCAAATTATTTCAATTTTCTTTGTTTTATTGTCTTTACTAGCCAACCCTCTTCAATATTCAGCTCTTGAAGTATGGATGCATTTGTTCTTTTCTTTACCCAAGATATTCTTAGAACCTGTCTGTAACATTTATATTCAAATGCATTTATGCGCTGTTCCGCTTGTTTAGTAAGTGTCCAGGTCTCACAGGCGTATGTTGCAATGGGAAAGATGCATGCTCTTAAAAATCTGACCTTTGTAATTCTATCTGTACAATTCCATAATTTATTCAGTTGTTTTAGTCTTTGAAGAGCAATTGATAGTCGCCGTTTAATTTCTTTCATTGTGTCACCATTGTTGGTAACCAGTGACCCAAGATATTCGAAATTTTCCACCACTTCCAATCTTTCCTCATTAACATATATTTCCTTCTCCATGGCAGTTTTGTTTGTATGCATTATCTTTGTTTTTGCTATGTTAAGAAATAAGTTATGATTTTCACTATTTCTTTGGAGTGAGGTTTTTAAGTTTTCTAAACCATTTTGTGATGTTGATAGTAATACTGTATCATGAGCATAACGAATTTCTGGTATTTTATGACCACCGATGTTTAGGGCATCATATTGTTCCTTGTTTATATCATCTCTTACATTTCTCATTATATTTTCGGCGCACAGGTTGAACAAATACGGTGACAGAACACATCCCTGACGGACTCCTTGCTTGATGCCAAACCAGTCTGATGTCTCTCCATCTATTCTGACTGCTGCTTGTTGGTCTTAATAGAGCATTTTAATGAGCTGCACTATATGTGATGAAAAGCCCATATTCCTCATGATTTCCCAAATCTTCTGATGTTGTACACAGTCAAATGCTTTTGAATAATCCACAAAACATAAGAACAGATTTACATTAAATTCTCTACACTTCTCTATTATTAAACGCATGTTGAATATATGATCTCTTGTTCCTCTTCCCTGTCTAAATCCAGCCTGAGCTACATTAATCTCTTCTTCCATTTTCTTATGCAGTCTTCTCATTATAATTTTTAGTAGAATTTTACTTGCATGACTGATCAGGGCAATAGTTCGATAGTTTGTACATAATTTCAGGTCACCCTTTTTTGGTATTGGAATGAAGATAGTTCTCTTCCAGTCTTTTGGCCAAATACCATATTTCCATATCTTTTCACATAATGCATGATAGATTTTTATGCTTTCTTCTCCTCCCGCTTTAATCAATTCAGCTGGTATCTCATCACATCCAGGTGATTTACCATTTTTCAGGCTCCTTATTGCCCATGAAATTTCATCTAGTGAAGGTTCAGGTTCTGCCTCTACTGTTACTGGTTCATGTAGGTATTGGAGCATACCTACATATAATATAGGCATAAAGAATTTGCCATCTGTGACTGTGGAATAGATAAAGTTCCCAACATGTGCTGACTATTGCTTTAACTACTTTCACAGAGTTTGGGCAGCTGGCCTAATGGCCCAAGAACAACACTGCAAGATAACCAAAGGGAGAGGCGGGAGGAGGGGGGTGGTGGTGGGTAGGGCAATCTTAAATGCACCGTCCTGTTTATGACTTAGACTGATCTAACAGTTTAAAATAACATATATTTAGTATAGTAGAAGAAATATTCCTCTTTAGTAGCTCTCAGATAACCACAGTTATTCTTATACTAGTTAGTCGCATATCTACTAGAGGCTATTGCAAACCTAGCAAAGCATGTATTAGATATCTGTATTTTACTAGTCAATATAATACATGCAGTAGCTTTTCGTTACATCTTGAAGGCACACCGGCCATACGGTTGTCAAAATCATTATTAAATGTTCTGCGGTTGTAAACTGGGTTCGCAATTCTCACAATGCATCGAACATATGTTGTAGGTTATTACACGTGTGTTTAACAGCAGAGCTCCTAGTTATTGCAGCCTAGTGCTTGTGACCACAAACGACTGATTGGTGTGGGAAGATGCCTTCCTTTTTTTTTTTTTTTTTTTTTGTCTCAGAATGGCCGGAATGTTCTGACAATTATATAAAACCTATATTGTTTTATCTTATATGAACCCCGAATGATGGGAACAAAATGTGGCTGCCTAATATAGGATTAAAACTGGTGAGGTTGGGGGAGAGGGGTACTTGCCACTACAAACCACCCCCGCACTAATAGATATTTTTCTTCTTCTTTTTCTTCTTCTTTTTCTTTTTTTTCTTCTTCTTTGCCATCATCTTATTCTTCTTTTTCGTCTTCTTCTTCTTCTTCTTCTTCTTCTTCTTCTTCTTCTTCTTCTTCTTCTTCTTCTTCTTCTTCTTCTTCTTCTTTTTCTTCTTTTTCTTCTTCTTCTTCTTCTTCTTCTTCTTCTTCTTCTTCTTCTTCTTCTTCTTCTTCTTCTTCTTCTTCTTCTTCTTCTTCTTCTTCTTCTTCTTCTTCTTCTTTTCTTCTTCTTCTTCTTTATCTTCTTTTTCTTTTTTCTGTTTACTCTTTTTATTTTCCTCCTCCACCTTCTACTGAGCTCGTCATTAAAATAGTATTTGAACGTTGGTTTGTGGTTAAAAGCAAAGCTGCAATGTCTTCGCCTTTGGATTAAATACATGTATAAATATATATATATGTATGTGTGTGTGTGTGTTTAAATTGTTGGATAGATCATGAGTTGCTTTTACCAGATGCTAATTATAAAGCGGTGGGTCTGTTCTCTTGTTTTCCAAACCTTAGCCCAATGTGCGAACTAAGTGTACAGAAAACTCATGAAACTGAACATGTATGATGTGGAAAGCACACATGCTAAAACAATCATACTCACCCCAGAAAGTCGACTGTAGCCCGCGAGGTGCCGAGAGCCACACTCAGATATCTGGCGTCGATCTCATGGATGCTGGTGTTAACGGCCACGGTGATCTTGTTGGCTACTGAACCACACGCCTTTGGTTCATCAACATTAAATACGTAGACATTCTTGGCGTGTGAGGTCTGCAGCTTACAGCAACACACAGCCAGAAACAGTAGGTGCTTGAGACAGTCCATCTTTTTTGTGAGATTAGTATCTTCGAATTCAAATACAAGACAGCGGAGTTTACAGTTATCACTGCATTAATACTAGTAACGGGGATGGTAATTATGGTGGGGATTGTAGTACAAATACCATATTAAATAAATATATTGTTTATTGACTTTTTTTTCTTCAACGGATGAAAATCATAGCACACAATTGAAACTCATAAGTGCTCTGTTTTACTTCTGACGCTAATTTGAGTATGAAGAATTTCAGCTCAGTGCACGAACTCCGTTGCACGGGCTAGAATGCTGGAATATTTGGGCAGATTTCCATCTCCAAATTTTGCGCAGGTAGCGCTGTTGGGATACTTTTTTTTCGATTTTGACCTGCAAGGGGATTTTTTTACTTATACAAGCATACACACTGGAGTCTGATCACACTACCCGGAGACCAGGGAAAATTACTAGAAGTCCCCGTGAAAAAATCCTAGCCTCAACAGAGATTTGAACCCAGCATTTGAGGTGGACACCATACCTCGACACCACTAAGCCCACCCCCCCCCCTCCTCCGCCCAATATAATGTAACATAATATAATAATATAATATAGTATAGTAAAACATTAAATATATATATATATGGTTCCATTCATGATATTGAATTAATCATACATTATATAATGGAATGGAGGAATAGACTGCTAGCCGCAAAGGTACAACAGGATAATGAAATGAATGAAAGTATTAGCACTAAAAGGGGTTTTCAATAGTATAATTTGTAGTGGTAGTAGAAGCAGGAACAGTAATAGTAATATAAGAATTACAAGCAGCTGCTGCTCTCTGTAACAGCTGTTGTTGGAGCTGTTGTTAGAGCTGTTGTTGTAGCTATTGTTGGAGCTGTTGTTGGAACTGTTGTTAAAGGTGTTGTTACAGCTGTTGTTACAGCTGTTGTTGTTGTCACAGTGTTAGCAGCAACCGTCATCACCATTATTACAATCATCATTGTTATCATGTAGTTGGTCCTTTGAATGCATCTTACGCTCGCTGGCATTATGTCGTGTTCGTAAGATTGAGCATGAACAGTGGCTTCTCTAAGCAGATTTGCGCGAAAGGAAATCTGTTTCTGATGTAAAATGTTTTTAATTCGTCTTGTCTTCAAAGTATTTGCCTCCAGAAACTATTGCTTGGCATTTTCCCCCTCTAAATTAGCAACAAATCCTTTACAGTGACGTGCGTGGAAATATCCCCACAGTTATGTAGCAACTCTTAGAAACAATGCTTTAGCCATGCACATAAGAACTTTTAGCATGTGGGGGCAGATGTTACATTACCTAACAATAGCAATTTTACAACATTGTATATCATTTAAACATTTAATAATAAAATGTTATCTGTGGGTGTTGTTTATATGCACGCACGCACGCACACACACACAGACACACACACACACACACAGACACACATATCTCGTCAGCCGCTCTGCGAGAAATATTTATATTTCTCCGGTCTGAGGGGCAAATTTGCTGAAAAACACCGCTCTACATGACGTTCCAACCAAACTTCCACCCTTTCAACAATCCAATTTCTTTACTGCTGTGCGGAATTGGCACTGTATGCGAAGGGGGCTGATGAATGTGTATGATCTGAAAAAATATGAGCACCTGTGGCTGTTGTGGGGTTTTGCTGCACAATGTTATGTTTTGCTGTTTATCACTGCTTCTTAACAGCTCGAATCTACTGGCATATCAGCTGTCAGACGATTATGAATATGTTCGGATGGGAATCTAAACATCTATGAATGTTTCTAGAGTGTCGTGAGGAAAGCCCATCTGTTATTCTAAATCTTGTTTTGTTAAGTGCCCATGCCACCAGTGAAGTGTACAGAATCCTCTGTCGCGACATTCCCAAGGCTCTTTTGCCAATAATCCTCTCTGATGTTCGCCACTTCTCCATGCTTATAGCTTTTATGATCTGACCAAAAATTTTGACTTTTGGATAACTGCTGCTTTAGTTCATACAGCCTGACATAATGTATAAGCTGCATATTCTTTATATGAACCCCGGCAATGTTAACTGTTTACTACGCAATAACATAACAACATGACCCTTGACCCGTTAGCGTTGTTGTGTATTGATGAATGCACTATAGCAGTACTTCTCATCCTAAAGGTTGCGACCCTCTCGGGAATCGAACTAGCCTTTGCTCTCGATCGCTAATGACCATCGGGGAAAAAAAAAACATATTCACTGAAGTTGTGAAGTAACAGCGAAAAAAATTGTATGGTTTGGGTCACCACAATACGAGGAACTGTATTAAAGGACATTTTGGGAGGCTAACAACCACTGCACTAGAGGATAAAACCCGCCATCTTTCTTTGCCTTCCGCTTGTTGAACAAGTGTATAGTAATTTAGTCATGTTCATTTTGTGATGTTATTATTTCATGTTCTTCTTTGCCGTCCTCTTCTTGGGCCACCCTCAGTGTTGCTTCAGCTATAATCTGTGCAATCGAATCTTTTCTCACAACGTGGCTGAACCAAGCTAGCTGGCGACGTTTAACAACTGCCAAAAGTGGCTCCTGATGTCCCGCAAATTGTATCACTGACATACATGCTAGTTGTATGTTCTAAATAGATAATTTGTAAGATTCGTCTACAGCGTTTGTGTTCGCAAAATTGAAGCCTCGTTTCCATTTCTGCAATGAGAATCCATACTAGCTCATCCGTGGTTAGTGAATAGGGATTAGTAAGGGTTATCTTCATATCACTCCGAAAATGTCCACAGGTGACAACCCTTAGGCAGACAAGAACAGAGGTACTAATATAAAAAGTTCAAAACAAGAACAAAAAGACTCACGAGGTACTTTGGTGTGTACGGTCCGTGTGAGTAACGTGTTTAGCCACTACTTACCTACTCCAAGTGTCTGGAAGTGGTCTTTGAACGAAACTGTCACTGTATCGGCCTCTTCCCAAGGACTGCGAAACGACCAGCGGAACCTAGGATCCTTGTGGTAGAAGCATCAGACGTGCATCTTATATAGGTCACAAGTAGAGCTTACCTGCTTTTGTCTACTACCACAAAGAAACAAAATATTGAATAGATACATTGTGGATTGTGAGAAACGAACAAGATCTATGTTCATGGTGCAGGATTAAATGCGAATTGCAAAAAAAAAAAAAAAGATACTAATCAGGTCATAGGAAAATATGAGCTCCCTTCCCGTCTGAACTACCAACTTAGGAGAATGATTGCATTGTGTAGTGGAAATACTTCATCTACGTGTGGATTGTGCTCGATTTACAAGTTCCTCATATGAATGGCAATTTTTGTTCGATCTGCAAACACTGCAGCGTATTCAGTAGTTTATTGTTCAGTAATGGCACCGGAAAGTGTTAGAGGTATGTCTGTAGAACGCGGAAGACATCATTGCCAGCGATGTATTCAGGGTGACTGACCGTACATTAGTAGACTAACGGCTGTGTGAAGGTAAATAATCTATCCTTTTTATGCCAGTGCAGGCTCAGAGTGTGCTAAATCCGTTACAAGAATATAGCTATTTTCTTATCTACTGTTCACTGTCGTATGTAACTTTTGTATAGTGTACGGGAATTTGAAAGAATAATAATAAAAATGTAATTTAAATCCTTCAACTACGAGATAAGAAAAAAAAAACTTTTTCAATTTATGTGTGTGTGTGTGTGTTAAGGTAGCTTATCTCAATATGGGACCCACTGTGGTGTAGTGGCTAGATGCTCGTCTGCGGATAGGAAGGTTCTGGGCTCAGATCCTGATGGAACCGAACTATTTAAAAAATGACTTTGAGTCGCAGGTCGACCCAGCCTAAAATGGTACACGGTACATTTCTAGGAAGTAAAGGCAGTCAGTGTTATGTTGACCACATCACCCACCGAGTGTCGATTGGGCTATACATCCTAAATGCCCAATACGTCTGAAGGTGTGGACAAGGCTCCTTGATTTATTGACGTTATCTTCGTGCTTTTGAAACGTGTGCTTACAACTGAAGCCCCTAACTGACGTAGCCTAATTTTTTTTTGAATTTTATTGTTAGGTTTGAATGCAATACGTATCCTTGAGGTTATTGTGTGTGAATTGTTTACCTTATCTTATCTGCTATACCCACATGTATGATAAGTGATGGTTCGCTATCGCACATGATCACCAGAATCATGGATCAGGTCTATGTACTTGTACCACAAATGCCGTATGGTTAAACCATATCCGGCTTTGACTTCACTGATACTTATCTCTGTCAAGTTATCTCCCACCCCCACCCCACCCTTCCCATGTTTAAAGCAAGCTGCCAAATCTGCCCCTATCAGCACAGCAACTAAGATGTCAGCAAAAAAACTTAATTAGTTGCCACTTGCGACTTCCTTCGAGTGGGCAGTTGCTCTATCTGTGTTCTTACTTAATATGGGGCCCTGGATCCACGCGGGGATATTTCTGTACTAATACCTCGTATCACAACCAGCCGTTGTATCTAGGCGTATCACAACCAGCCTTTGTATCTAGGCGTATCACAACCAGCCTTTGTATCTAGGCGTATCACAACCAGCCTTTGTATCTAGGCGTATCACAACCAGCCTTTGTATCTAGGCGTATCACAACCAGCCTTTGTATCTAGGCGTATCACAACCAGCCTTTGTATCTAGGCGTATCACAACCAGCCTTTGTATCTAGGCGTATCACAACCAGCCGTTGTATCTAGGCGTATCACAACCAGCCGTTGTATCTAGGCGTATCACAACCAGCCTTTGTATCTAGGCGTATCACAAACCAGCCGTTGTATCTAGGCGTATCACAACCAGCCGTTGTATCTAGGCGTATCACAACCAGCCTTTGTATCTAGGCGTATCACAAAACCAGCCTTTGTATCTAGGCGTATCACAACCAGCCGTTGTATCTAGGCGTATCACAACCAGCCGTTGTATCTAGGCGTATCACAACCAGCCTTTGTATCTAGGCGTATCACAACCAGCCTTTGTATCTAGGCGTATCACAAACCAGCCGTT